CGGGACAGCTGCCACCCCCATGGGACACCCCCACCCACATCCCTGAGGGGCACTCCTGGGGTCAGAACCCTCCTGGGGGTCCCACCTGACCCCCGCCCAGCAGGGCAGGGCTGGAGACCCTTGTGGTCGCTGTGAGCCTGCCCCGTCTCCCGTGACATGTCACAACATGCCGTGACATCCCAGACACAGCGTGACATATCGTGACGTGACATGGCACATGGGAAAGGTGCCAGGGGCAGGACAGGGAGGGCAGCTGGTGTGAGAAGAGCCAGGACAGTGTGGCACGACATGTCACGACACCCCGTGACATAACATGACATCCCGTGGCACGCCGTGACATATCGTGACATACCACAACAGGATACATGGGAACGGCTGGGGCAGGACACGGAGGGCAGCCGGTGTGCCACCGTCACCCAGACCAGCCCAGGACACCGTGACACGTCATGACATGTCACGACACGTCCCAACACGACACCGCCACTTACTGGAGGAGCGCGAGGTGCTGTTGACGAAGACGTTGAGGAACTTCTTGGAGAACTGCAGGTCGGCCTCGGGGGACGAGTCCTCGGAGGAGCTGCGCGCGTCGGGGGCCACCAGCCCGTCCCCAAAGGCCACCTCGTCGTCGCAGGCCCTCAGGATGTCACTGTCGTCGCTGAGCACGGACGTGCAGCGCCGCAGGCTGACCAGCTCCAGCTGCGTGTGCTCGTCCACCACCAGCGTGTACTTGACCGAGTCGTAGGCCAGCGACTCGTCCAGCGCCGGCGGCTCCGGCGGCACCGGCGCCTCCCCGGCCGGGCTGCCCCGGCGCGGGGCCACCAAGGGCGGCTCGGCCTCCTCCAAGGCCATGGCGAAGCCGCGGTTGGTCTTGGCCGTGGACACGTCCAGCGCGGCGGGGTCGGCGTCGGGCGCTAACCGGACGTCGTCGATCATGGAGTCGGCCTCCAGCACGCCCGAGTCCAGGTCCCCCTCGAGGGCCCAGCGCCGGGGGCTGGCGGGGCGGCGATCCCCGCTGGGGACAGCGGGCTCGGAGCCGGGGGACACCCGCGGCAGTGACGCCGGGCGGCAGCCCAGGGTGGCCAGGACCTCGGAGGCGTCCAGGCGGCCGAGGGCGACGGGGCGGCCGGGGCACACGGGCGCGATGGTGTCGTTGGTGGGGTTGCTGAGGAACAGGAAGGGCCCCGGCTCCTCGGCCGGCGGCTCCGGCGGCGGCTCCGCGGCCGCGTGCTCGGCCTCGGCCAGGGAGCTGCGCAGCGTCTCCATGTCCACCAGCTCGATGGCGCCGCGCTGGCACCGCGCCGGCACCGCCGCGTCCGCCGGTGCCGCCAGCGAGTCCCGCGGGCCCGGCTCCTCGTCCAGCGCCTCGCTCAGGATCTCGGGCTCCAGGTCGGAGGCGGGCGAGATGGTGTCGCAGAGCGAGTGGCTGTTCTGGAAGCACTCGTCCGGGCACTTGATGGGGTACGAGCCCTCCGAGATCATCTTGTTCACCAGGTTGCTGAGCAGCCACGGCGAGTCCGAGTCCTCGCTCAGGTCGGGCTCCGACTCCGAGTCAGAGTCGTACTCGCTGTTGTCCTCTTCGTCCGCCTCGGGCATCAGCTTGGGCCCCACGGGCAGGTAGAAGGAGCGGCGGATGCTCTCCAGGCTGTGGTCGGGGTCGATCTTCAGGTCCAGGGGGCTGGCGCTGGACACGTCGGTCTGGCCCTCGGGCGCGGGGCCGTCGGCCGGGTCCAGGCTGTCGTAGTAGGCGTCCATCTTCAGCTCGGCCAGGCTCTCCCTCCTGACCACGCCGCGCTCCGGCGGGCCCCTCTCGGCCGGCTCCTCCTCGTCCTCCTTGCCCTTGTCCAGCAGCAGCGAGTCCTTGATGCCCAGCAGGCCGGGCGCCTCCAGCTCGGGCTCCAGCTCGCCCTCAGAGCCGGGCGAGCTGGCCTCCTCGATGGAGTTGGTCAGGTGGGAGGAGCGGCCGCTGCTGCTGTCGCTGCTGAGGTCCAGCTCGGTCTCCGAGATGGACGAGATCATGTTGCTGACCAGGCGCCCGCCGGCGAAAGCCGCCTCGAGCTCCCCGTCCACGTCCGAGTCGGAGCCGGGCGAGCTGAGCTCGTCCCCGCGCCGCCCGCCGGGCAGGAAGGGCTTGGCCGTGCGGCTCGTGAGGTCGGCCTCGATGCCCGGGTCCGAGGAGGGCGAGGTGGTCTCCGAGGAGCCCGAGGGGTGGCCGCGCACGCTGGCGGCCCGGCCGGACCGGGCGCCCTCCCCGTCGGAGCTGAGCGGCTCCGCGGGAGCCCCGTCCCGCTCCGGCCGGGGGGGCCGCGGCTGCGGCTGCGGCTGCGGGCGGGGG